AATATATTAATAAACCTTGTTTAATTTTAATTATACTGTCCATGGAATTTCCTATATTCCCGAAATACTGTCAGCAATTTCTGGAAATATCAAAACCTTTTTCCACTAACTTATAATCTGAGTTGCGAATAGCTGATATACACATTAGTTTTTGGTTTAAATTGCCTAGCAATTATCATGTTTTTGCGACAACAATATTTATTTTTTATTATCAATTAATAGTGCAACGTGAAAAAAATTAAAACATTTATTGTTAAACAATAATGCAATAAACAAGTTACTTATCAAAGTGAAATTTATCTAATATTATATAAAAAATATTTTTCTATTTTATACTGAGTTTATATTAAATAGTTCAACTCGTGTATTTGAAAATTACATAAAACTTAATTAATTATTTAAAAATCCACTTAAAATGTCATCTATTTTGGACAAGTTCAAAATAACAAATAAAATCCGACACAATTTAAAACGTGAAATTAGATTGTTTTATGTTTTCGAAGATAGTGTCAACGATAATATACTATTTATAACAAAGGATGATCAGGTTTACGGATTGGGCAAGAATTGGTTTGGTGTATTAGGGCTGGGACATGGTGTTTTAGATATTAATACGCCCACAAAAGTAGACAAATTGTGCAATAAAAATATCCGACAATTTTTCACCGGTAGTAATTTTGTGCTGGCTATGGATGATAATAACCTTATTTATACGTGGGGCGGAAATGTGTCTGGTAATATTGGTGGTGATATTGTCGGACTTGAGTGTCATTATCCAAACCCTATTTCATTTTTTATCAAAAATCAACTTGTCATCAAGCAAGTATGCTGCGGTGAAGATCACACACTTGTAAGTTTGACATTTTATTTTAAAAATCTCCATAGACTTAACATTAAATTAGAATATACATAAAAACTATATATTTTATACAAATATATAAAAATTTATCAAAAATTTATTTGTAAAGACAAAGGTTTTATTTATTTATATTTAATAATATGCATCATGTTTATATTTTAGTCTAATTTAATGTACATTATACAGGTCTGTACTAATAATGGACTAGTGTATGGGTGGGGTTATAATGGACATGGAACAGTAGGTTGCGGTAAACAAGGTGACTCCCACATTAGAAAACCAACCAAAATTTGTTTCCCTGATCAATATACTATTGACAAAATTAATTGTAGATATTACATTTCATTTGCTATTACATCCAACGGACAGGTGTTTAGGTGGGGCTGGTTGGTTTCAAAACAGTTCACACCTACCTTGATAAAAAATGTGCATGATATTAAAAGTATTACCTCGGTAGGAATTGAGCTTTATTTGCTATCTAAAAATGGCATATTATATACATATGATAATGAAACAGAATCATTGAAATCTAATATTAGTATTATTAATATGGTATTCACTGAAATCAACTTGTTGTTTTCACATTCACCGTGTAAATATTGGCTTACTGGATTATCCGATGATAAAATTTATCGTATAGTGAACATTGATGATGTCCGTGAATCAGACTGTACAAGTTTCCAAGATTTCTACTTTAACAAATTGGGATTAACTTTAACCCCAATTGAACTTGATCCCGGCAGTGATAATCTGAAACATGTCCAAAACAATGATGGTAACATAAAATGCTTAATAATAATTGAATTACTTATTAGTTCTAGATTTATGAAAACAGTTATTTAAATTTTAATACAATATTTTTTTAAAAATCTAGAACTAAAATGTAATGTTAATGATTCTTATATTAACAACTTAACTATAATTTATTTTCTAAAAATTAAGTTATTTATTTATTTACTTATTTATTTCGAAAATTCTTAAATGTAAATCCATTTGTGAAATTTTAATTTGTACGTCAACTTTATATTTTTATTAATTTAAAAAATATTTCAATCCTAAAGTTTTCGCCAAGTATGACATTTGCGACAAAATAGATAATGATATGAAACAAGACATACAATTGTTTTACGTATTCGACGACTCTATCGGATATAACATATTGTTTGTGACAAAGGATGACCAGGTTTTCGGATTAGGCGTTAATAGCGCGGGTCAGCTCGGGTTAGGCCACAACACGGCTGTCCATTCAGCCATTGCGATATTTGAATTAAGTCACCTGGGTATCAACCAATTTTATAATGGAAAAGACTTTATAATAGCTACAAATAGCATGCACAATGTTTATAGTTGGGGAAGCAACGATTATGGACAACTCGGACATGGTCATACAATTGCCGGGTATTATAAGTCTGCTACTATATCATTTTTTGAGTCGACTGAAATCAAGGTGAAACAAATATGTTGCGGAATGTTGTATACAATTGCCATCATATATGATGATAATCGGCAACAACTGTATGGTTGGGGTAGTAATCAATTTGGACAGCTAGGTCGTGGTAAACGAAACGGGTTACATGAAAGTTCTGTACCAAGGCCATCTAAAATATTGTTTACAAGCGAATATAATATTAGCAAGATTGTTTGTAATCATTGTACTACGTTTGCCATTACATCGGATGGTCAGGTACTTTATTGGGGTCTAATATGGGGCGTAAAATTGGAAAAGGATGAAGATAATAAAATGATACATAGGCCAGAGTTGATGAGCAATGTAGATTATCCTATAAAAGATATTTTTGCTGCCAATGATATCTACTTTTTAACCACTACAGGGTTAATATATATTTATAATTTTAATGATACCAGCATGCTTAAATTTGATGACCTGACCTATTCGGAATTTAAACGTGGATATTCCTATTTATTCGACAAAATTGTGCTAGCTGCAAAGTCTGATAAAACTAATATCATTTATCAGATATCAGAATCGAATTGTATAAAAACCAAGCATGCAACAGTTGATGAATTATATGCAAATGAATTGCAAATTTCTGTGACCACGGTTATTGTAAATGGTTCGCAAAATATAGAAAATACTGTCCCTCAACTTGAAATTAGGGGTAAACTTAAATTATCAATTTACTTATTTAAGTAATAAATTATAAATATTTCTGTCGAAAGATACTAAACTGAGCATGAACCCCGTAAATAATGAAAACATTTACAAAGTGTTATTCAATGAGTTATCCCAAATTGGCACTGGCGGTTTTGGTACCGTATTTAAAGCACGTCATAAATTTGATGATGAGATACTACTTTGGCCAAATCTATCTACTGAAGGAAAAAGTTGAATAATTTATTAATGGATAATCCAATTTTTAATTTGTTTTCACCAAATTATAGCTGGATAATTACGTAATCAAATGGTATAGTATTTGCCATATAAACCCATCAGGATAAATTAGTAAATTAATTTCAAAGTTATACCACATTTTGCCATTGAAAATACATGGGGTATTTCTTGATTTTTTCGTAATTTACTCAAATC